AAGAAAAAAAAAGAAAAGAAAAACAAACAAACTAATTCACCCACATACACACACACACACACACACACACACACACACACACAAAAAACCGGGGGGGGGGGGGGGGGGGGAAGAAGATATAACAACTATACTTCCATGAAGTTGTTACAACAAGCAAACGGAAAGGACATTCTTGGGGGGGAGGGGAGAGAGGGAGGAGGGAGGGAGGTGTCGGTGACGGGCCATAATAATCATATACAGTGTATATTGACAAAATTAAAAAATAAATAAATAAATAAATAAATAAATAAATAAAAAAGAGAGATTTATTGTGAGGAGTCAGTTGCATGAGTGTGGAGCTGGCGAGGCCCGTCTGCGATCTGCAAGGCAGGCTGGACACGTGGGCTGAAGCTGCTGCCGGCAGGCAGAGTTCTTCAGAGAAGCCTCAGCTCTGCTCACAAGGCCTCTCAACTGATTAAATCAGGCCCTCCTAGCTTATCTAATACAATCGCTCTTACTTAAAGTCAATTGATAATAGATCTAAATTATGTCTACAAAATACCTTCACAGCAACACCTAGACTAGTGTTTGAATAATTGGAGACCGTTGCCTGGCCGAATTTACACATAAAACTGACCCTTATACCCGCTTCTTCCCCGTTCAATGATGTAGCTACACTGGCCTTTTCTCTGCTCCTTACACATTATAAGCTTATTCTTGTTTTAGGGTCTTTATACATGATACTCCTTACATCTGGAATGCTTTTCCTCCAGACATTTTCCATTAATTCACTCAGTTTTACTTTCTTGATTATGCCTATTGCCATCTAGAATTATCTTTTTTTTTTTTTTGTCCATTTGTTTATTATCTTTTTTCATCTAACTGAAGGCAAATTTCCATCATAGTGGGAACTTCATTGGTCTTGGTCTTTGTCTTCTGTTCCTAGAGCAAAGCCTGAAATGAAGTAGGTGCTCAACATACTTACTGATAGGAAAGAGGAGAAAGGGAGTCTAGGTCTGAGGCATAGGCCATATTCTGCCTTTCCATCGGGGATAGGAGCTATTTTCTTTTCTGTGGAAGAGGTTTGGGCATCCGAGAAGCAGATGGCAAGGTGGAATGAAATGTTAAAGAGACTTATTGCAGGAAATGCCTGTGAAGGATAAAGAGGAGACAGAGCAGGGTAGGTGGGGTGAACCTTCAGACGGCAATGCAGGCTGACCCCTGTGAAAGGAGGGAGGGATGGAAGCAGGCTCCAATAGGAAGGGCCCCAGTGTACAGTGCAGCGCTTATGGGGAGCCCTTCAGCAAAGACTGGCCTTTGGAGGAGTCTTACATTGGACAGAAATGGCCCACCTCCAGTTCCCCTGCTGTGTCCGGGCATTGGCTGGGAGGAGCCTGGAGAGACCATGACCATGGAGTGAATTCTGTGCAGATCCAAAGGTGTGGCAGTTGGAGGCTTTAGCCAGCAACATTCTTTGCAGCTTTTGAAGTGAAATCTGAGCAGTGCACCTCTATGGTACACATGCGGAGGGTTCAGCAGTGTACTTATTTCTATGGATACCACATGGGGAGGGTTCAGCAGTGTACTTACTTTCAGCAACATTCTTTGCAGCTTTTGAAGTGAAATCTGAGCAGTGCACCTCTATGGTACACATGGGGAGGGTTCAGCAGTGTACTTATTTCTATGGATACCACATGGGGAGGGTTCAGCAGTGTACTTACTTCTATGGCTACCACATGGGGAGGGTTCAGCAGGTACAATAGTAAGGATTAGATTCACCAACAAGGATTAGAAAAATTTCTGTTTTACACAGAAGAAATCCAAAGTAAGCAGTCCAGATCTGGGTGTGGTGTTACCACCCTTATCAGAGACTTGGGCTACTTCAGTCTTGAGGCTCTGCCATCTTCAGCCCATGGTTTCCACTTCTTGATTAAGGACAGCAGCTCAAGATCGAGCTGTCTTGTCTTCATTCCAGTCAACTGAAAAGCGTAAAGGACAAAGAAGGGCTCCCACCCTCCCTTTAAGGACCCTCCCCAGAACATGCACATGATACTTCTGCATGTATCCCATTGGTTAGAAATCAGTCACATGGGTAAACCTCACTGTACAAGAAGCTGAGAAATACAACTTTTATTTGCACAGCTATGAGCCAAGTTAAAAATTGGAGGTTCTATTACTAAGCAGGAAAGACAAAATAGATATTGGGGGCAACTAGGAATCTCTGCCACAGAGGGACAGAATTCAGTCTCTGCTCATTTGCTTCATTAGTTTTATCTGATTAAGTCCTAGTATAAATGGTTTCCCTTGGAGTCACAGTGTGATTCAATGACCTCAGTATAAATACGGCTGAGAGGTAACTAGTTCCCAAGCCAGTGGGGCCATGACACACATTACGGAGGATTTGAAAGCCTCCCTGTGTGAAGAGGATGATACGTGCTGACCAACCCACTACAGTGGTGCAAGGATAAAATCATTCAAAGGAATTGTAGAGCTCTTTCTAAACATAGTGGCATGTTCAGATGCTCAGTGGGATTCACCCTATTAGATCACCACTTCTGATCCTGAATGGCATAGGCTTTTCTCTTTATATTATTTCTTTCTAGAATTATTCATTTGATTTCTATATTAGAGTAAGAAATTTTCTTTAAAAATTTGATGTCAGTTTACTCCAGTTGATTCATGTTATTTTAATGCTAAAGTGTATGGAAAATTAGAAAACTACTTTAGAGCAATGTCAGACCTTATACTGATTTACTCAAAACTGTTCTTTCATCTGTAAAAAACAAGATAGTTAGACTGAAAGGTATGAAATTAAGTTTTTTTTAAGTGTTGTAAAAATTAGATTTCCTTTCCCTTTTTAGGGCACTGGAACAAATGAAGATGCCTTGATTGAAATCTTAACCACCAGAACAAGCAGGCAAATGAAGGAGATCTCTCAAGCCTATTACACAGGTAACTTATTTTCTGCTTACCTTTACCACTGTTCACACATTGTAAGTCAAATTTGCTTTTCCCGAATCCCACTGATCTCTTCCTCACAAGGCATTTTGAAAAGGCAGGAGTTATAGAAAGGAGGATACATTCTAAAATGGGCTAAAGACTTTAGATTTTCATAGAAAATTAGCGTATGATCTGAGCTAGAAACTGCCACAGAACAATGGCATTAACATTTTGCATTTATAATATTACAGTTGGAGTGGATTTTGCTCTCAGCAATCACTGCTTAATTGAATCAACCATTTTTATTAATGTAAGAGATTCAGATCATTATATGGTATTATTATATGTTAAAAACCACTCAGATTAGACTCATAATTTTTGGTGGGGGAAATTAGATGAGCCATTTAGAGGATGTGCTGAGCATGTGGATTCAATATAACTAGCTAAAGTCCTAATAGTCTGTTAGCTGTGTAAAAATTAGAAAGTCCCTACACTGCAATTCTGACTGTAACTACTCAGGGTTAGTGTGACTTCACAAGTACGGTCACAGTCCCCACAAGACTTCCCTCACTTAAGACACTAGCCCACAAGCTCAGGTGTTCCCAGGCCACACACATTTCTAACCAGCTGGCTTCAAATTTAGGGTTCTCACTACCCTATCAAGTATGACTCACAGAAGTCAAGAAAGTTCTATACTTACATTACAGTTTTATTGTGAAGGATACAAGTCAAGACCAGCCAAATGAAGAGACGCATAGGGAGAGGCCTGGGGGGGGGGGGGGGCAGGGGGAAACTTCCCCCCCCCCACCC